GAGCCTATCACACCTGATCATCACGTGGTGTCTCAGCACGAAGAACTTTCGCAACGGTGCATACTCAGGGAGAACACTTATACTTTGATAATTTAGTGAGGGATCATCTTATAATGCTACCGTCAATCAAAGCAAGATAAGATGCATAAAAGATAAACATCACATGCAATCAATATAAGTGATATGATATGGCCATCATCATCTTGTGCTTGTGATCTCCATCTTCGAAGCACCGTCATGATCACCATCGTCACCAGCGCAACACCTTGATCACCATCGTAGCATCGTTGTCGTCTCGCCAAAACTTATGCTTCCATGACTATCGCTACCGCTTAGTGATAAAGTAAAGCATTACAATGCAATTGCATTGCATACAATAAAGCGACAACCATATGGCTCCTGCCAATTGCCGATAACTCGGTTACAAAACATGATCATCTCATACAATAAAATTTAGCATCATGTCTTGACCATATCACACCACAACATGCCCTGCAAAAACAAGTTAGACGTCCTCTACTTTGTTGTTGCAAGTTTTACATGGCTGCTACGGGCTTTAGCAAGAACCGTTCTTACCTATCCATCAAAAACCACAACGATAGTTTGTCAAGTTGGTGTTGTTTTAACCTTCGCAAGGACCGGGCGTAGGCACACTCGGTTCAACTAAAGTTGGAGAAACTGACACCCGCCAGCCACCTGTGTGCAAAGCACGTCGGTAGAACCAATCTCGCGTAAGCGTACACGTAATGTCGGTCTGGGCCGCTTCATCCAACAATACCGCCGAACCAAAGTATGACATGCTGGTAAGCAGTATGACTTATATCGCCCACAACTCACTTGTGTTCTACTCGTGCATAACATCAACGCATAAAACCTAGGCTCGGATGCCACTGTTGGGTAACGTAGTAATTTCAAAATTTTCCCACGCACACGCAAGATCATGGTGATGCATAGCAACGAGGGGAGAGTGTTGTCTACGTACCCTCGTAGACCGAAAGCGAAAGTGTTAACACAACGCGGTTGATGTAATCGTACGTCTTCACGGCCCGACCGATCAAGCACCGAAACTACGGCACCTCTGAGTTCTAGCACACGTTCAGCTCGATGACGATCCCCGGACTCCGATCCAGCAAAGTGTCGGGGAAGAGTTCCGTCAGCACGATGGCGTGGTGACGATCTTGATGTTCTACCGTTGCAGTGCTTCGCCTAAGCACCGCTACAATATTATCGAGGATTATGGTGGAGGGGGGCACCGCACACGGCTAAGAGAACGATCACGAAGATCAACTTGTGTGTCTAGAGGTGCCCCCCTGCCCCTGTATATAAAGGAGCAAGGGGGAGAGGCCAGCCGGCCCTTGGGGCGCGCCAAGGAGGGGGGAGTCCTCCTCCTAGTAGGAGTAGGACTCCCCTTTCCTAGTCCAACTAGGAAGAGAGAAGGGGGAAGGAAGAGAGGGAGAGGGAGAGGGAGAGGGAAAGAGGGACCGCGCCCCCTCCCCTAGTCCAATTCGGACTCCCCATGGGAGGGGGCACGCCACCTACTGGGCTGCTACCCTCTCTCTCCCCTCAGGCCCACTAAGGCCCAATACTTCCCCGGGGGGTTCCGGTAACCCTTCCGGCACTCCGGTTTTCCCCGAAATCACCCGAAACACTTCTGGTGTCCGAATATAGCCGTCCAATATATCGATCTTTATGTCTCGACCATTTAGAGACTCCTCGTCATGTCTGTGATCATATCCGGGACTCCGAACAACCTTCGGTACATCAAAATATATAAACTCATAATGAAACTGTCATCGTAACGTTAAGCGTGCGGACCCTACGGGTTCGAGAATAATGTAGACATGACCGAGACACGTCTCCGGTCAATAACCAATAGTGGAACCTGGATGCTCATATTGGCTCCTACATATTCTACGAATATCTTTTATCGGTCAGACCGCATAACAACATACGTTGTTCCCTTTGTCATCGGTATGTTACTTGCCCGAGATTTGATCGTCGGTATCTCAATACCTAGTTCAATCTCGTTACCGGCAAGTCTCTTTACTCGTTCCGTAATACATCATCCCGCAGCTAACTTATTAGTTGCAATGCTTGCAAGGCTTATGTGATGTGCATTACCGAGAGGGCCCAGAGATACCTCTCCGACAATCGGAGTGACAAATCCTAATCTCGAAATACGCCAACCCAACAAGTACCTTCGGAGACACTTGTAGAGCACCTTTATAATCACCCAGTTACGTTGTGACGTTTGGTAGCACACAAAGTGTTCCTCCGGTAAACGGGAGTTGCATAATCTCATAGTCATAGGAACATGTATAAGTCATGAAGAAAGCAATAGCAACAAACTAAACGATCAAGTGCTAAGCTAACAAATGGGTCAAGTCAATCACATCATTCTCCTAATGATGTGATCTCGTTAATCAAATGACAACTCATGTCTATCGCTAGGAAACTTAACCATCATTGATCAACGAGCTAGTCAAGTAGAGGCATACTAGTGACACTATGTTTGTCTATGTATTCACACATGTATTATGTTTCCGGTTAATACAACTCTAGCATGAATAATAAAAATTTATCATGATATAAGGAAATAAATAATAACTTTATTATTGCCTCTAGGGCCTATTTCCTTCAGTAATCGGTGTTGCTTATGTTTCATCATGAAATTTTGCCTTCTACTCAATCATCTCATGGAACATCAGAGGACTCCGTGACTGACAAATGTGCACATATCTTCTATGAAAATTATCGTCCATTCGGCGTTCCATCGTGATCATTCAGGACACGAAACTCTCAAACCCACAAACAGTCAAAATACACTCATTCCCTCCACGTTTTTTTAGATGCACATGATCACCTCGCTGCGATTGACTCCATTCTTTCCATGGTTAACACTGGATCATTTTCTCTATCAAATTCTTGAAAGATTCGCCCTTCCCACAGGTTTAGCCATTGACTTCAACAAAAATGACTTTACATCCATTCAGACACAGATATCTCCCCTACCATTGTCTCTGCTATGAAGTGCACACAACAAATCTTCCCACTAATCTACTAAGGCTTGCCACTGTCTCTTTGTCTCCCCACCAAAATGCTAAGTACTGCCTTTGACCCAATCATAGATTGTTTCAGAACTTGTTTTATTCAGTTGGGCTGCCGGGTTCCCTCCGAGAGGGGCTCATCTTACTACTTTATTATATCTTCTGTTCTTACTTCGCTTGTAATCTAGTTTATGTCAGTCTTTCGTCTACCAAAATAAGTCTTATAAAAATTAGACGCTATTCCTAGAGATTTCTTATGGTCTAACAAGGACTTGTGCACTGGTCCTTAAATGTCTTATGGCTTGGAATAATGTTTGCAAACCTAAGAAAAATGGTGCCACTCAAACTACTCCCATAACATTTCTCAAAGAACATAGAACCCAACTTATATCTGGAAAGTGATCAACCAACAACTACCCACCCTCATTGAGTGTACCTTTGTCCTAACAAATGATGGTTTCTCTACTTTTTTTGGTTAGACACTTGGCTTCAAGAAATTATGGGATTCAAGAAATTCTTTCGTCTTCCGTGTTCAATTCCATACGTCCAAGACCACCATTAGAAACACCGTGTTCGACTTATCACTGTGCATATTCAGATTTATCAAAATTACTATGCATGACGCCCCTACATCATAGAGTAATAACAGACTATGTGTTTTCTTAATATATTCAGGTGAGGAAGCTCTCCTCCCCGGTGACTGTTAATTGTTTTGTTTCCCATGTAAATAATTGTAGTGTACATTTCACTGGAGAACTTCCACTTACATGTGAAAAGAACAAAAGTAGATTTTGATATAGAAAAAAAGACACAAGACTCGTGATGCATATGAAAATTTGGAGAAATCAATGGATCTTCCACTTGCTATGCACAAGAACGCCAACAAAGAAGGAAAACTGATCGGTGGTATCATGATGGGACTTACTTGGTACTCCGCTCCTACATGTAAGATATGCTTTAAAGTGAAACTACAAAAGATATAATCACACCATCATGGCCGATGCAATCTTCCGGGCATGTGATATATCAATTGTACATGTCCCCTCCTTGTTGTCTCCTTACTTGGTCTAGCAATATAAATTGCGACTTTGCTAGGCACAACGTTCCTTGTAGCATGTAGCATCAACCACTTTTTTTCCTCAAGGGAAAAAAACTAGCACCAACTACTCCATGGGACGAAAGACGAAACTCTTGTAGTAAGACAAAGCATCTAGTTGCTTCCATCCCATAAGAAAACACATTGTTATTCATGTTTGCTTGTTACCGCCATAGTTTCTATTTGTCATGGTAAAACATCAGATAGATCACAGTATTCAGATGTATCGGGTAGGCGAGGGAATTGGAGACATCGGGAGAGAGGCAATCATTTCTCGATGAATCCGACAACCTAATACCGTCTCCAGTTCTCTAGGTAGTACAGCAAACATGGCTTCTAGTAGCACTAGGTATACAACCATTTCTTGAAAGACGATAGGGCCATGAACTTAATTGGCAAGGTCAATCAGCTCTCGACGACGCACACCGCCTTGCGGTGCATTAAGAGCCATTGCTCAACCATCTGCACGAAGTTCGGCTCTAGTGTGGCGCTTCACGATTGGTATGGTGAAGCCATTCCTCCTATTCGAGAGATTGTGCCCGTAACTTTCAGAACAATATCGTGCAGGGTGAGCAGTAGTTTCTGAAATTTAGAAAACATGAATTCCCTTTTTTTAAGGAAAAAAACACATGGAGACCTAGGATTCATCTTTTTTAGCCATATAAATCATGTATTCATGCCATGGAGGAAATTTTCACCCTTTTTTTTGGAGCAAAAATGGCATCGTCACACGAGACCCCAGGCCCAGAATCAACAAAGCCGAAGAGGGCCTATAGAAAAGGAAAAATAAATAAACCCGAACGAATTCGCCAACAACCCCCAAAGCCGCAAGCGAGAGAGAGGAAGGAAGAAAAAAAATGGCATCGTCGGCCCGCGCCGCCGCCTCCGCCGCGAGATCGGCTCTCCGCCGGGCGCCCCTCGCCGCCTCCTCGTCCTCTTCAGCTGCCGGGATCCTCCACAGGTAGGTTTCTCCTAGGCGGTCCAAGAAATCGATCGACCGATGCGTGGGTGTGTGGGTGGCTGCGGGCGCGTGCTCACGTCGAGTTTCCCTGCAGGTCGGCGGCGGCGGGCCTGGAGACGCGGATGCCCCTGCACAGCGCGGCGTCGGCGGCGCGCCTCGGATCCTGCATCACCCGAGGTAAGCCTGCGCAGGGCCTCCCTTCTTTCCCCCCTCCCGTTCCGCTGGTCGTTAGCTACCATCAGATTGGATCTCGGTTCTCTGTGTGAATGGCTGTGCAGACTGCAGAGTAAAATCTGCGTGATTGATCTTGCTCTGTGAGGTTTCTAGGGTCAGTTAGCATGGCACGAACCGTGTTTATCTCCAATGTTTTCTCAAATTGATTTCCCTAATCCCTACCCAAGAGCAAACACAATTGGCACTACACACTGGATGCATATTGAACTCTGCAGTCTGCACAATTTTGCGTTGGTGATACTGTCTTGCGTGTGGCTTTGTTGTTGAGCTCAACTGCTCATACAACATGTGAACCTAGAAATAAGAGTGTGATTCCTGTTGATTCTGCAGGATAGATGAGCATTTTTGTAAGGAAGTGCACCAGTAGTCTGAGGAGAGTTGACGATAAACACCTGCGAATTCATGAATAACTAAGTAACTGTCATGCTGAACAAACACTTCCTGCTCTAGATTATTAATCTTATTATCCATGAGTATATTATGGCTCCATATTCGGCAACCACATGTCACAAGAACACCTTGAGACTGCTATTCGCTAACTACCTGTTTACTGTTGTTAGTCATTGTTCTATCACAGGCTATTAAACGTTTTCTTGTTTTTGGTGAATTTGGGAGATCTGTATCCACTGTCCTCAACTGAGCCATTGCATTACTTCTTATTCGAGGTTAACAGCCTTATAGTACCTAGATCCATGTGTAAACCATTTGAGCGTCAATGCCAGCGGCTCCGTGAAGATTTGATATTTTGAGGACTTCATAGTAGTAGCTCGTTTATTTTCAGATCTTGTATTTCTTGATCTTCATCACATCTGATCAGTTAAGGAGGCTGTGTAGTAATGGCAATTGAACTTTGATCAGTGTGGTTATCAGAGTTGCACAGTATTCAGATGCTACTAGTTCACTTCGTAGCAAAATGCAGAGAGAATTATGAGTCTTCATTTTGCTGCTAATATTGTACTCCCTCCGTTTGTTTCTATAAGATGTTTCAGACAGCTTGCTTTGTACTGTTTTGAACAGTGTCTGAATGTCTAAAACGTCTTATAAAAGTGAACAGAGGTAGTACCTTGGTTGAAACTTCATACATTTCCATGCCTTTTTTTCTCTCTCTGTGCTCATTGTTGATTAACATTTTCATATTGTATACTCAGATGGCGACAATGCTTTCTCATGGAACTCCAGGCGCATGTTCAGTTCAAATGAGAAACATCTGCCTGCAATATCTGACCCGAAAATTGAGACTGCATTTAAGGATTTGATGGCTGCTAGCTGGAACGAGCTTCCAGATTCTCTTGTGGAGGAAGCAAAGAAAGCAGTATCTATGGCTACTGATGATAAGGCTGGTCAAGAAGCTTTGGAAAATGTATTTCGTGCAGCTGAAGCATGTGAAGAGTTTAGTGGAGTTTTAGTTACCCTAAGAATGGCTCTTGATGATCTTTGTGGTCTAACGGGCGAGGTCAGTACTTAATCACCTCTCTCCCCTTGTTTATGTATTGCTCTTTGCAGGACTGGGGCTCATTTTTCTGCTTCTGCTTACGTCTTACCAACCCTAATTCCTGCAGAATGTGGGCCCCTTGCCTGGTTACTTAGAAGAAGCTGTGAAATCCGCCTATAGCCGATACATGACATATCTGGAATCTTTTGGTCCTGAAGAGCACTATCTACGGAAAAAGGTGGAGAGCGAGTTGGGGACAAAAATGATTCACCTGAAAATGAGATGCAGTGGCATAGGGTCTGAGTGGGGAAAGGTATGTTTCTATTGAAAGTTACTGGTCCTTGGAATATAGTTTTCTTATACCAGTCTCTATTGTAGAACTCATGTTTGATACATCTTTGTTGTGTGGGTGCTTTGCATGCACTATCATGGTTCATTGATTCTTCTTGTAATGCCGTTTGCTGTAATGTTAGTTCATTGCTTTTTGTGCAAGGTGTTTCTATATATGCGACATTCCACGTTTATTTTTGGATGAATTTGTTTCTTCAATTTCTGTTATCACATTTCTTTACTTATGTGTCAATATTATCATTTTATCCCCTTCTCTGTCCAAGGGGCAAAGTATCGAATATCCCAGGCCAGTCACTTGTTATTGGCTTAGGTTGTATATGAGGGATTGTATTGGTGATATAGACCAGAAAAGACAGCCGTAACTTACAATTGCTATGAACACTTAAACCTTGTCTAACAACCCCATATATTCACAAGTATGATCATGGTCTTGTTCACCTTTATTTTATTCGTAGAAAATAACTAGCTGTGTGTGTTCTTTACCTTTTTTACCAAGTATTATGCACTTATGCTAACTGTACTAGCTATACACCATAGAAAACTTGCTTGGCAAATGCTCCTTGTCTTGTTTGTGAATACAGACAGATAACCCTGATTACGTGTCGCATCATAATGACCAATAACACTTTCTCGCTTTCCTCTTGTTAATGATTTAACCAAAATAAGCGCCTGTTTTGTTACCACCATGGTATGTCTGAGGTTCCATATTTTTTTCTCAGGCTACTAAACAGTTTGGAATTAGTCTACATGTCGAATAGGCGAGATAGGTTGATTTATATTAGTTCAGACTAGTTTGTAGTACTCAAATTGTTAACTAGTTTTTCTTTCCCGCAACTTTCACCAGAAATTCAGAAAACACAACCATTTTCTGGTTTATTCCTGGCCAGGTGTTTTGTAGCGTTCCCCCATATTCTCCCCTGTACCCAGTTACCTCTAGAAACTGGGCAGTACTGGCAGCTCAGCAATAACCATAAGAGTATGGCTGTTCAAACTTGCCTGCTTATTATGGGGTAAAGGCTCTTCTCCAGTGTTACTGTTTTCTTCTCACAGATCGAGTGTTGGTCAAGCCATCGTGAGTTGTTATTGAAACCGGGAGATGCTCAAACAATTGCTTCTTGATATTTTTTTTTGTCTCATTAAAATGTTTCCTGCTGAAAGTGGGTGAGATCCTGCACAAGTATATAAGCATGTGTGGATTAATGTCTTCATGCTGGTGTTCCTGCTCAGTTTCATAGCATGTTTGGATTATGTTGTATTCGGCTGATTTCCTGGTCTGAAGTTAGTAGACATTGCTGCTTGATTCAGTATATTCATGAAGGATTGTTGTTCCTGCAGATCACCCTGATTGGCACCTCAGGGATCTCAGGGTCCTATGTTGAGATGAGGGCATGATGGAACTCTCATATCAGAACCATGGCCAAACACTGATGGTCTGACGGGAAGCTTTGTATCGATATCAGAGCCAGGTGTTCCGTTTTCTTTTATCTTTCCTCTGTAGCTACCATGCCAATAAACAAGGCGATCGTCAAAACATATGTGCACTCACTTAAAGTAGCTATTTGCGCCCCAGATTTTCCTGCTGTAATAAGAACATGTCTGTTGAATTGTTTTGCTGCTCAAAACTATGATGGATGGTCTTTATTGGGCTTTCAGGGTCAGTCTCGTATGTTGAGAAAAAATATACTTGAATAGGATTTGTCTGTTTTTTGCATGGTCTGGCTATGCCCCAGTCGCTTGAAATTTTCATTGTCTCAATCGATTCTGAAAAGCAACTTGGGTTTCCACCTTCCAGAAATCAGCTGAGAATTATCACACCGTTTTGTTTTATTGTATCGACCACCGCTTTGAGGGAACGAGGTTGCGCTTGATTTTTCACCTTGCCTTTTCAGTAAACATGTACTGAAACGCTGGTGAAAGCAGGAGCGATATCTGCATCATGCAAGCAACCGTTGTATTTTAGGAAGTATTTAGATCATGATCTAATCCAAATGGAACTTGGCTGTTGCACAACTTATTAAATAAGTTTAGTGCGTTGCAAGACTCACAGTTTAACAGCAAACTGAGCAAGTACTATTGTTGGTTTCAAGCAAGGAAAAAAGTGAAACTATTTCAGCCATGATCACTCCCCTTTCGTCATTTGTTGTGTCGCATTGACCTTGGCGGTCATCGCACCGGCATTTTGGAACTTACACCTAGGTATTCCTTCGTTTTGCATTTTGGAACTTACACCGATATTCCTTCATTGCAAAACGGCGAATTTTACGTTGGCGATTCAACTGCAGTGCATTGATCTTGGCGGTCATCGCACCGCCATGTTGGAACTTACACCTAGGTATTCCTTTGTTTTGCATTTTGGAACTTACACCTAGGTATTCCTTCATTGCAAAACAGTGAGTTTTACGCTGGCGATTCCGGCCGCCTTGAACACCTCTGTTCCTGCGACCGAAGCTGCCACCTCCCACCTCCACGAACCCAAAAATGTACCTTTGAAACCCCACAAAATAACTTGATTCGACTCAAACACGGAGAAACAATTGCAAAAAAACACATAACAAATCCTTTGTTTATTGCAATATACCACACCAAAATGCAAGCACAATTCAGCACACTATCATAGGCACAACCCCTAACTCCTTTTTTGTTTGTAAAAGAGGCAAGCGGCACAACAAAAGTTAAAGTACTTATTAGTCTATATATTATATATATATATATATATATATATATATATATATATATATATATATATATATATATATATATATATATATATATATATATATCGGCCCTTCTTCACTACAACAAGCGGCTATCTCCCCATACGAGAACCCTGCAGATTGGACGGATGCTCCATGCACCAGAAGCTCCTCTTCTTTCTCTCTTCAGGGAGCGGCGACGTTCTCCAGGGCGAGCGGCGCGATCTCCTCGCCGACGATGCCGGGCTCGCTCCCCTCCACCCCCAGTTCCAGAAGCACGTCCTCCCAGTTCTTGGCAGGCCCCTGCATCATATGCGCAAGCCACCATTAATGGATACATCGGCCCTTCACTCTTAGTTGTTCCAGGAAGTGCATACTGAACCAGAGACGACTTACCTTCCAGGAGAGATCCTGTATCATGCAGTTCTTGACCATCTCATGGTACGCCGGCGTGCCGACGACCTTGACGGCGCGCTTCAGGGTGGTGACCACCTTCTTCACGTCGGCCGGCTCCACCACGTTGCACTGGCCACCAACAAGAAAAGTGCACCACTTCATGATCTGTCTGAGCTGCCATGATGAACAAGATGAATGAATGTATACAAGAGGATCGATGAGCATACGTCAACGCTGAGGCGGCCCATGTGGAACCCGGTCTTGCCTTCCACGATAGTGTCGACGAGCCCGCCTGTCGACGCGCAGGCGCACGGCTGAAAATTTGAAAGAAACTTCGGTCATGGCCATGGATATGCAAAGGAGGTGAGGAACTGGCAAGAAGGACTGAAGGAGGATGCGTTTACCGTTCCGTAGCGCATTCCCTGGAGCTGGATGAGGCCGCAGGGCTCGAAGCGGCTGGTGACCGCCAGCACGTCGGCGCCGGCCATCATCTGGTGAGCCAGCGGCGCGTTGAACCTGACCACGGCCCTCACCTTGGTCGGGAACTTCTCCTCCACGCTCTTGAGCAGCCGCTCAAACTTCTTCTTCCCGGTGCCCTGCAATGCATTCGATCAGTCAGTCACCCACCCATCCCCACGGCGAGCTATCAGGAGATTTTCCTGAACGGGTCAGCAATGTCGGTCGATCGTACCAGGAGAACGATCTGGACGTCCTCCTCCTTCACGATCTCCGGGATGGCGGCGATCATCACGTCGGGGCCCTTCTGCTCCTCCAGCCTGCCGATGAACGCCACCAGGGGCACCTTCCGGTCCACCGGCAGCCCCACCTCGGCCTGCAGCGCCTCCTTGTTCAGCGCCTTCCCCTCCAACGCCTGTCACTTTGCCTCGTTTGTCAGAACTCAGAATCCACCCAGAACCAGCGATCACCGGAAGAAATCTTTGTGTGGGTGGGTGGGTGCTCACGGTGGTGACGTCGTAGTTGACGGTGAGGAACTTGTCCTTGATGGGGTCCCACTCGCTGACGTCCATGCCGTTGACGATGCCGGTGATCCCAGTGAGGCGCATGATGTTGTCGAGCTCGCAGCCCCTGGCTTCGCCAGAGATTAGCTCCTCAGCATAGTAGGGGCTCACAGTCAGCACCTTGTCGGCCTGCAGGATCCCGGCCTTCATCCAGTTGATCTTGCGCCCCTCCACCGGCTTGTCGTAGCCGTCGATGAAGTCGAAGGACGACTTGAACCTGTCGGGCAGGTTGAGCTGCGCGAAGTCGTCGAAGGAGAAGCGGCCCTGGTACGAGATGTTGTGGATGCAGAATGCCACCTAGCCATGAAATGGAGTTGCAATGTAAAATTCAGGCTGCCAGAATGAACCGCAAAATTGATATGCAGAGCGAACATAAAGTTTCAGAAGATGCAAAACCTTGGCCGTCCTATAGATGCCATTGGACTGGTAGTTGCTCTTGAGGTAGCAGGCCAGAAGGCCCGTGTGCCAGTCGTTGCACACAAACACCACGTCTTCCCCTGCGCGGCGCGGCACGGCACGGCATAGCATGGCAGCACCAAGATACAAGGAAGATGATAATCATCCAGTGCTCTCAAGTAGAAATCAAGTTCTTCAGATACACTCTAGTTGTTCTTGATCTTACCGTAGGGTCCAGAAAAGTGTGGGTTGTTGTTGAGGTCGAGGATCCTGGGCACCTCAAGTGCTGCCTGGCAGAGAAGGCTGAAGCGCTGCTGGTTGTCCTCGTAGTCAGTGCCGGCGTCGGGTCCATAGATCTTCTCCTTGGTCTTGCCCCGGACCTGGAAATTGTAACCAGCAGACGCAAAGACTCACTGAAATTATCAAACACCATGCGGGTTGAGACGACGAGGAGCTAGCTTGATCGATCGACGGCGAGCGATCGGTCACCTTCTCCAGGAAGCACGGGTGGTCGACGAACACGCGGTCCACCCCGCGCTTGTAGCAGTGGAAGTACCTCACCCTCTCGTACCTGTCAACGACCTTGATCTGCGAGATCCAGCCAGTCAGTAAAGTCTTGCAGAAATGTGCAGGAGCATGTGAATTGTGATAATTCATGTGGCGGATATATACCTCGGAGATGACGCTGGTGTCCCAGGCGTCCTTGTACTGGTCGTAGCGCGGGGAGATGACCATGACCCGGTGACCGTTGGCCTGCACGGACACGGCACCCGTTGTAACGGCAGGCATGGCTGCAGGAAGAAACATTTATAAGAAGGCAGTGGCGCAAGCTTACGGCCATGGCGGCGGGGAGGCCCCCGAGGACGTCGCCGAGGCCGCCAGTCTTGCTCCAGGGCGCCATCTCGGCGCCGACGAACACGAGGTTCATGCCGCCGCTGCCCGTGGCGCGCACCACCATGGAGAGGCACCGCCGGTTCCCACGGTGCGGTTTCCTGCTTTGCTTTGGGGCGGCGCTCGCTCCGACAGTCCTCATGCCGAGCGCCGCATCCGCCGGGTTCCGGGGCCTCAGGCCCTGAAAACCTGGACGCCGGAATCTGTCGGTGACGCTGAGGACGGTGCCGGAGGTGGCGAGCTGGGACGTGACCAGAGCCGCCATGGCGCGCGCAGGGTGTGGCTACCTGCAGCAAGAGACGACTGCACTGATTGTTAGTGAGTAGTGAAGTAAACAGAATTTGCAGTCAAGTTTTCTGGATTTTACATTTGAATTTGAAATCCAAATTAACATGACCAGAGTATATATGAACCTGTCTCCGCACTGGTAGTAATTAATAAGCTGTTAAATCGCGTGCACGGGGTGGAACTGGCTGAGAAATGGAATTTGTTCTGTAGGGTGCAGTGGAACGCTCACGCCAAAAACAAACAAAAATCAAAGCCTTGGTGCGTGACCTGACCTGTTTGATCCAACTCGGCTAGAAAACAGAAATGTTTATGCGCGCATTATGCTGCCTCTGTCTAGTCGTAATTAACCCTAGGCCGGCCATGAATCCATTGGATCTGTTCCGCAGATCTAAGATCGTTCACATAGAAATCCATCCTAGCTAGCAGTACATGATTTTAAATCTTTTTTTTTAATTTTTACATGATTTTAAATCTACGAATCTATAGGAAGATCCTCAACTTACGCTCGCGATCTTTAAGTAAAAAGGAAGAGACTCTGGATCTAACAACATGGCGGCATTTGGATGGATCTATCTACTACTAGACCAACCGACCTTGATTTGAGACCGAACTAAATCGATCTATCCATCGTCCGGCGGCCGGGAACTGGGCCGGCCTGCCTATATACGTTCGTGCGTACCTGGTCTGATCTCTTCTTCTGCTTCTTCTTCTTCTTCTTCTTCTTCTTCCTAGACGGGAGCGTACTCACAGTCGCCGGCCGGGCATTCGTGAGTGTCCTTCTTCTTCTTCACTGGCAGATCGAGGCTCCTGGTTGTAGTGTGTGGGGCGGGCGGGCGAAAGTGACGGGACTCAAGGAAACGAACGGTGCGTGGCTCCGGTGAGTGGGGTTATTTGTACTCGCCCGCTCGCTCAGTCCTCCGGTGGCTGGATCCCCAATACCCGCTCCGCTCCTCGTGCATGCATGCACGCGGCCGGACACCGAACGCCTAGACGTGACGGGACCGCCACGCTACGGCACGCACCCGCATGCATGGCCCGTGTGATGAAAGGCGGGACGCAACTTCGGTGCTTTAAAGGCACGTGCCTTTGGATCACTGACATGTGGGCCAGCCATCTGTTGGGCTCACATGTCATAGACACAAAGGTAGGTGTCTTAAGGCACTGAAGCATCGTCCTGAAAGGCGACGTTGAGTGGAGTGAATGACCCACCTTTTTGTTTGTTTGTTTGTTTCTGCCTACGTGCGTGCGTGCGTGCGTGGGTGGGTGCCGAGCGGAGCGGAGTGGAGTGGCACACGTACGAGACTAGTGGTACCGCGGAGCGGCTGGCAGCCTGGCACATTCTCGGTTCGCCGGCGCGCTTTCCAGCGGCGTCGTGGCTGGCCGACGCGCCTTTGCGTGCGCTCGGCCGGCGGCGCCCCCTTCCGTTGCCGGCCGCGCCGTGCACGCATCTTCTTGTCCTGCCCGCGCCCGCCCGGTGGGCTGCCGGTGGGTGTTCCTGCTGTGATGTCCACGCGCACGCGCCTTCTCGTGTGCTCCCTCGCTTTCAGTTCTGGGGGCCATGTGTGCTCTCGCTCTCGCCTTCGCTTTTCGCTGGGGCGTGGCAATGGCGCTGCATGGCCCGGGATTGCTTCCTCTGCAGCACGACGACACGGCCGGGCGTATCACCTTTCGCCCCTTCTTTTTCTCTTTTGCTTGATTGACGTACGGCTCTGGTATGAACAGCTAGCACGTACGTGCTGCCAAACCGGCGCGTGAGGGACGCACGCACGTGCCAACATGGACACGTACGTGCGTGCCCTGGCTTTGTCGGATCGGGGAAACGTAAATGCGGTGGTTTACGCGACGGTGGGCTGTCACTCACGGTGAGGTGGTGAGCCTCTTGGAGAGTCTCTAGAAGGCCAGTGCCACATATATGACTATTTTCGTCCTACGACACGAAACAATAGGCCGTGGCTATATCCCAGTCGCCTGAAAATACTAGTCTGTGGCACCTGAAAATAGGTCGTACAACACCAACGTACTAGTGTTACACGGTAGTATAGCTAGCTAGTCCAATGTATACGTGTCTATTTTTTCTTTCTAAGTGCACGCATGTGGCTGTGCGTGTGTGTCGGTGTCGTGTGTGTGCGCACAGGTGTATGCATGTGCTCGCGTGAGTGCTCATGTGTTGTGTATGCGTGTGTGTGCATGTGTAGGGTATGCATGCCCATGCGTGAGAGATGAAAAATGCGACACCACTAATATACGTAGGCATTCCGCATATTGCGTGCTCACGGAATGAATTAGTGGCATTGGTATCATCATTCTAGAAAAAATTAATTTAGACAAATAATGATAAAGTTTGCACGCAATTTAGATAGAAACTGTGCTTTTTATAATATGCACAAATAAGCATATAAAAGTTGAGTTTTTGTAAGATAAAGAGATTTTCTAAGATGGAATGGATTAGTGGCATTGGTATTTCCCTTAAAGAAGAAACAAAATGAAATAAAAACTAAAACACAATCAAAATACTAAAGTTTTCTAAGCAAGAATGAATTAGTGGCATTAGTGTTACCCTTCCAGAAGAAAGAAAAATGAAAAAAAATACAGAATGACAAAACTTACACAGAAATTGCGCTTTTCCATAATATACAAGAATAAGTGTGTACTAGCATAATTTTCAAAATGAAATTTCCAAATGAGGCATAAATTAGTATCATTGGTATTACCCTTAAAGAAGAAAATAAAATAAAAAATAAAAAATGAAGAAAAGTTTGCGCACAATTTGTACTGAAATTGCATAATTTTATGACTGCAAAAATGGGTGTATAATACTTATGTGTATATTAACACATGCACACACACCCCTAATATTCATGCATACACATAAATGAGAAAACCAACTAAAAACACTTAATAAACAATAATAAAACTGAAACTAGTATAAAACTGAATTTCCTCTTAGGTAGAATGAATTGGGGGCATTGGTTTTACCCTAAAAAGTAAAGAAAATGAAATAAAACATGAAATAAAACATGAAACAAACAATTACAAAATAAATTGTACATAATTGGCACAAGAATCGCACTGTTACACAATATGAATTACTGTCATTGGTATTACCCCTTAAGAAGAAAGGAAATGAAAAACAGCGAAACAAAATAATGACACAATTTACATGAAAATTGCACTTTTTAATAATATGCAAGAATAAATATACAACAGTGAAACTTTTGTAAAAAAAGTTCCCTAAAAAGGAATGTGGCATTGGTATTATCTCAAAGAAGAAAGGAAATAAAAGAAAATTACTTTAATGAAGTTTTCTAAAAATAATAATTAGTGACATTGATATTTCCCTTTATGAAGAAATAAAATTGAAAAAAAATAAAACAAAATGATAAAAAATTGCATGTAATTATTCTTAAGTTGTGTGTTTTTATAATATGCAATAATAAACATACAATAGTGTATGGTTTGCAAAAAAATAAGTTTACTAAAAAGGAATGAACTGGTGGCATTAGTATTACCCTTAAGGAAGAAATAAAAATGAAACAAAAACTAAAACTAAATCAAAATAATTAAGTTGTCTAAAGAATGAATGAATTAGTGGCATTGCTATCACCATTTAGAAAGAATAAAAAGAAACTGAAAATAAAACAACATAAAAATAATGAAGTTCTCTTAGAAATAATGAATTAGTGGCATTGGTATTACCTTTTAAGAAGAAGAAAAATTAAAAATAAAATCAAAATAATGATCTCGTCGGTTGTTGGTCAACTGCGTCGGTGCATGCATGGGCTGTTAGTCACGGTGAGGTGAGCCTCTTCGAGAGTTTCTACAAGACCAATGCTATATATGACTGCTTTCGTCATACGACACAAAACAATAGGGCTTCGCTATATCCCAGACGTCTGAAAATAGTATTAGGGTCAGCCAATTTCTATTTTTTAGTGCACACACTGCAGGCTAGCTATATATATACCCAAAGTACTGGTGTTACATGTAGTATAGCTAGCCAGTTCAATGTATACATGTCTCTTTTTTTCCTTTGTATGTGCATGCATGTGGCTGTGTGTCGGTGTAGTGTGTGTGTGCGCATGATCGAGTGTGTCGTTGCAAAGGACGAGCTCCATGGAGCTGGTTTTGAAAAAAAGAAATCAAAATATATTTAAAAGTTTCAAAAAATGTAAAAAATAAATCTTCAAATAGATATACATATTATTCACGTATGTATAAATTTTCATCAACTAATTTGATTATTTGCATGCTACAAAAAAAATATCTGACACAAATAGAACAAAGAAAAAGCCTATTTTAATATCTGTATTTGTCATTTTTTGTACATTACATCTGAATATCTATGTTCTTGAAATTTTATACATGTATACTACAGTATATGTCTACATGATTATTTATATTTGAGATATGGAAAAGGTATTTTTGCTGAAAAAATATAGAGCTCAATGGATTGTGTATGTGTGTGTGCATGCGTAGGTATGCATGCTCATGCGTGAGAGGTGAAAAATGCGACACTACTAACATACGTAGTCTTTCCACATATTGCGTGCTCATGGAATGAATTAGTGGCATTGGTGTCATCCTTCTAGAAGAAAATAATTTAAACAAATAATGATAACGTTTGCACACAATTTAGACAGAAATTATGTTTTTTATAATATGCAAGAATAAGCGTATAAAAGTTGAATTTTGGCAAAAAAAAAGAGATTTTCTAAGAAAGAATGGATTAATGGCATTGGCATTTCCCTTGAAGAAGAAAGAAAATAAAATAAAAACTAAAATAAAATCAAAATACTGAAGTTTTCTAAGCATGAATGAATTGGTGACATTGGTGTTACCCTCCCAGAAGAAAGAAAATGAAAAAAGTACATAATGAAAAATTTTACACAAATATTGCGCTTTTTCCATAATATACAAGAATAAGTGTGTAATAGTATAATTTTCAAAAATGAAATTTCCTAGGAAGGAATTAATAAG